TTGTTTGTTTTAAAACATGTCTGGAGGGGATTTTGAAGTGCTCTCTCTGCTGCTCTGCACCTAAAGTAATTATCCTGACCTTAACCCCATCCTGCACAACCACAACCCTAAGTATAGTGTAAGTGTGGTTCTAAGACGCATAATTACAATACTTGTTCCTTTGTAATTATGCGCAGTACGACAAACGCTGTGATCCGAGGAACACCTTTTTTATGGACTTGAACCCGGCACCCTTCCTCCTCCGCCGCGAGAGGAGCTCGTAGAAATGATTTCATCTGAAACTACTTTTGTCAAGCAGGAATGTTTTGTCTCCAATGCGAAACCCGCAACTGTTCAAACGTTGGACCGAACCGTTCTGGCTGACTGAAGGCATCACTTGGTCCATATTTTTTGACTATCATTTAAGTTTGCTGGTGTCGGCGTGAGTAAAGCTACACCTATGGGTGTCCCAGCTCCACTCAGTCTATTTCTGTATCTGAAGGAAAGGTGATGGGGGGGGGGGGGGGCAGGTTTGGGGCAAAGCAAACAGCGAGGGTCTCAACACTCAAAGTAAACATTGCCCTATGTTTGAACTACACGCCTTCGGCCCTACAGTTCTCCCACACACTCGCGCTCTGCCCTCTGAGTTTTATTCCTGCTAACACCTCCTCGAGCCGGCCCAGCTAAATGCACTGCTTATCCCATGGTCCTTCTCATAAATCAGGGAGGAAAACCACCTCGGACAGGGTCTCACCTCTACGGCCAGCAGCTCTGACTTACACGTAGGGACTACTTCAGAAGAAACAGACTTTTCAGAGTAACTTTCTTAATAACCATCTCCGAGGACATTTGGATGTTGTATCCAGCAAATGTGACACAATTCTAATAAACCCTGTTTATTTACCGTCGCCTCCGAAAAATGTAAAGTCTGCTTTGCTGAGTCAAGAGCATGTGACGATGCATTTAGGGATTTGGGAGTTCGACACGCGGCAAAGTTTAAAGTTTTATTGAGCATACAATAGAGCATGAAGTGAATCGGTTCACACGCTTCATTACTGTTCAACTTGTTTTCATCCAACAAAATCATTGAATTCAGAACTGTGAGCATGTCAGTGGGTTTAAACGCAGACTCCAGCTATTTGTGGCTTTAATGTGTTCAAGTGCATGAACCAGAGGAGAGCTGCAACAGCAGCAATATTCAAAATGACACATTCCCCGGAGGAAACCGTTTAAACATCTGAGCGTTGCCCAACATCTCTTGCTTCTCTGGTTTTGTTGTTTTGGCTTTGTTTATTCATCCTTGTCTCGAAGCGCCGGCTTCATCCTCCGCTGCCTTAACTTGTTCCCAACAACTTTAATTCCTCAACACAAAAGAATGAATCTTTTCATCTTGGGCATGAGTCAATTACCAAGGCGGCATTACTGAGCATGCTGCATGTTCTTTCCTCAAGCATTCAGAGGAGCCTCAAAGAATATATTGATTCTGACATGTTTATTTCCATGGAAAAGACATGTTAGGTTTCCAACAAGACCAGCACAATTATCTTTTGTCGTCCTGGAACACTCCCAGTAACTCTTATGGGTGGATTTTTTTAGACAATGTTTTGACGGACACGGGCTATTGTAGTTTGCGGGCAAGGGTTTCTTAATTTGTTTTCATTACATGTTGTACAGCTCACACCAAAGGAAATGGGAATGTGGGAGTCACAAATTGCTTGTCTCATTGTGTCCCGGTTGATTTCCAGATCTTGGTAAATGGGCTTCTCACTGTAGACAAAACAGTTTTCACTGACTGTTATTTCTCTTATGTTCATATTCACTGTTAGTGGAGTGTTAGCCCGTGCTGTAACTGTACCATGCCACCAAAGTTTAAAGTTACAAGTAATAAGTTACTTGAGCATTGTCATGAATGAGCACTAAAGCTATTAGACTGACGGGTCTAGCAGAATGCGCGATACACAGTAGACAGACAGACACAGAGATGCACACACACTCACTAATGCACACATGACCAAATACATGATCTCCTGGCGGAGATGATAACGCAATAAAACTGTTTGGGATGCAAATTTGAAGAAGAAAAAAATCAGAGCTTTGGCGAAAACCGACATAATTGACTGTTTTCTGCACTCTTTGTACATTTGTGTTTTAATTTCACCATTGACCTTTTAGCTGATGTGTTTTGCTGTCAATCTTTGAATCGTACTCGCAGTTTTCGACCACGAGAGTGTGTGTGTGTCTGTTTCTCAAGGGGAGTGATTTTCGGCAAACCTTGCAGACTGGTGAGATAAAGAGAACTGATGCTCAAGATGGGAACATTAATAACAAGATGAAAAGAGAGATTCTTTGATTCTGTCATAATGAAAATTAATTACAACAGAGCACCAAGAAACCTGGCAATAAGACAGATATTTTGTTGTGATTAATGCCTCTATTGAAAAACCCTTCCTCACACGGCCTCTCCTGCTCTTATCCTGGAAGACAGAAGACCCAGGCTGCTCCTTAAGGAGGATCTATATTGTTCTCGCATAATATAAATCGATGCAGGGCTCGGGGAGCTCTTGCGTCACTAAATGGCTTTGTGGAAACTTGGCAAGAGAGGAGCCACAACTGTCTCAGGTTCTATATTCTTTACTGAGTGTTGCACAGAAATGTAAACACTATACAAACACACAAAATCTGACAAATCTTTAAAAAGAATGTTACAAATGTATGAAAAAAAAAAAACCTCAGCTGGTATCACTTTATTTGGACAGCTTCAGTGTTCATGCTCAACCTTTTGTATCAGCTGACGAAAAGCAGATGCTTAACATGTCATTTTGACATCTCCATTTTGACTCAGACATTTAATAATATTGAGGAAAATGTAGCGTGGCTCTCAGGATGGTAATGTCGGCCTGTCAGGCCTGCTCTGGTCCAGACTAAATTATTGAATAGTTGGATTAAGATTAAATTTTGTGCACATATTGCCTCCAGGGGATAAATCCTACTGATTTTGCTGATCCCATGACTTTTCCTCCAGAGCCAGCAGCAAGTTGACATTTTTTTTTTTTTAGTGAAACGTTCCAACAACTATTGGATGGATTGTAATTTTTATTGATTTTTAACTTATTACAAATTTCAGTTTGATTTAGAATGAGGTTTTCTTACCTCTGGAATTAAATCAGGAAGTTAGTTTCAAACCCATTAACATGTGAGCATGTTGATTGTGGCTGTGGTTACACTTATCCTTCCAGTGTGACTTTTGTCATCCGATCGTGCCAGGACGCATTAACTGTCGAGTCTGTACACTTTGAGGTCGCATCTTGCTCTCATTGCGATCCGATCAGCCAAACTACATGCTCGAGGTGACCTGGCTCGCATTGAGTTCGGATCTCAGTGAGTCGTGGACCACATGTGGGCACAATCCGGACAATGTATCAAAGGCAGGTCTCGCATCATCTACCGGGTCTCACGCGAGAAGAGAAAAAAAACGGGGGCTGGAGCACAGCTGAGACCTGCTGTCTGAGCCGAGTTAAGTTGCTGCTCATGAAAAGCCAACATTCTCTAATGTTTCTGCTTCAAAATAAAAGAGAAGAAAATAATGGGACTTTTATTTTGTGAAGAAAGAATTTAAAGGAAAATATGTTTATCTCTGAATCAGCAGGTATATTCTTCAATAAAAAAAGGAAAAGCTATTCGGAAATGAAATGTGTATATCTGCCGATCATAGCCGATCAATACACGATCACGCAGCTCTCATTGGAGCGTGGACACGTATGCGGAGACAGCTGAGTTCCAATCCCAAAAGTCGCATTGAAAAGACAAGTGTAACGACGGCCATTGTTTCCCTGAAACCTCTGCAAACTATGAGTGAAATGTCACAGTAGGATAAGTATGACTCTGACCTGGTAGCTGTGTCTCCGTCCTGTAGCGATACCAGCGTTAACACGGTGCCATTGTGATGTTTCCACTATTTTGGCCTGAAGGTGTTGAGACCAATTGTAATGGCTATTTTACATTCAACACTGTGACACAGATTTTCAACGGACTTTTGTGCATTCTGCGCCGTCGCCGTCCCATCTTCCACAGCAGACTTCATGACCTCCAGGAATAGGCAGATATAGGCAATATGCTAAGCTCAGGGGTTTAGGTTGCTGGTCATTTCCCAGTGGGATCAGCCGGCTCCTGCAGAGGGCTTGTGATAAGAGTGGATATTGGAAGCTATGTAAACCTTGTTAAGCTGCCCTTCCCCTGTGTGCAGGGGGTAATCCTAAACACCTGGGCTAGTTAACTGGGATTTGGTGGGATTAGGGGCTCCGTGAGGCAAACCTGATCATGCTTCTGGTTAAATCCATTTCCATTCTTATCTTTTCACATTCTCTCTTTTTAGAATTCAAACTCAATCCAGCAGTTATACAACAGTTACCTTTTTATATAGAGCTATTTTTATGTCTGCCCATATCTGTTAGTTAGGGTTATGAGAATTGGTCAAGCATAAATGTGATCCATTAGTCTGGGCTTGAACATCCCACTTTGATTGAAGTTAATACTGTGCGTTACATTTTTATATTTCAAATGTGTGTTTTCATCACCTCTTAGTCTGCTTGTTTTAAAGGGATGGCGCTGTTGGTCTGTCGGTTTGTCCAGACTGAAATATCTGAACAAGTATTGGATGAATTTTTGATCAAATACCTGCAAAATGAGATTGCCAAAATGCATTGTGCATTGTACAGGCTTTTTTCTAAGGCAGAGGTCCAGTTGGTCTGTTAAAGGTCACTGCAGCAAAATCAAGTGTTTGAGTTCCTAGTCTTGGAACAAATGGCACCAATTTAACCAGGCTTAACCTCACAATCATGGGGATATGATTTGTATTAACTTTCACTGTTTTTGTCTTTTACTCTTGAGTGGTGAGATATAGTCCTAATCAACTACATGGAGTTCGAAATTCCAAAAATCTGTATTTTGTCGTATAACTATGTCGCCATCAACGAGAATGTTTCCTCTTCATCCACTAACCGCCCCTCTTTCCTCCTTCCTAGATGTGGACGAGTGTGCAGAGGCACTTGACAACTGCAGCATCGACGCCATCTGCCAGAACACCCTGAAGTCATACAAATGTATCTGCAAGTCGGGCTATAAAGGGGACGGCAAACATTGTGAAGGTAACTGTTTTAACGGATTCATCTGCTCATTTCCAGCTGCGGTTCGAGGCACAAACTCCTGCTCCCCTCTGTCAGAGCACAGGGAGGATTTGACTGTACGTTGAAGTTAAAAAGGGAACTTTTCTCATGTTGATTTGCCTTATCCATCTGAACGTAAGCCCCCTGGGCCAGTGACAGGCTTGATAAGACCTTCTGTCTCACTCAACATAACTCATTAGCTTTAAGACTCTCCCTGAAGAGGGAGGAGAGAGACGAGGGAGGGAGCGGCGGACGGAGGAAGGGGGAAAGCCAGGTGCAGAGTGCTCCTTTGTGACAAGATGAAATGAAGCAGTAAATTTCCTACACATGTTGGAGGGAGAGAATTAAGATAGTGGCTGAAACGGCGGTCAGAGGCCCCGCCAAGCAGTCAGGGATATTTCCAGAGCCAGAGGCAGGCCTCGCAGACTGTCAGACACAAGTCTGTTTTTCTAACCTTTTCCAATGTACCCAAAGCCTCCGGATCATTATATTCCACAATTTATATTAGTATTATTACAAAACCATATTTCACAATGTCATTTTTTTTGCTTACTATTATTATTCTTTCATTTACTTGACCGAGTGTTTTTCATGGCCTCCTGCCTGTGGGTCATAAAAGTTTGCTTTATTAAATCTATTGTAAAAATATGTGCGAGGTTGGGTTTCCACTGAGCTGAAGGTCAGCCGATATATACTTGTGCTGTACAATTCAAAAGCAACGTTCATAAAAATGAGGAAATATCACAAAGCGTGTCAGTAACTGGCGGTAGCATTTGAGGAGCGTGGCGTCTGACCGCCTGTTGAATTGGAGCCGAACCTATTTGTGTTGGAAGAGAGCAGCAGAACTCAACGTCTAGGGTTCATGTTTGATTTTTAGCTTTAGTGATAGCTTCAATATAACCCGTAGCAACAGCTGTGTTTTATGAGCATGAGTTGAAGCACAAGTTTTTATCTTCAGGGGACACACTGATGCTGTTAGAGGACAGGTTTACAATGTGTTCAAATGTCTTAAAACAATAGATGGGTGCCAATGTGGACATCTAAGCAGGTTTTGCTAGCTGTAATGGTTCCTCCTGTTCATACTGGCCAGTTTAAGACTCCTTCCTAATGTGCTCTCAGTGACACTGATGTCGGCATCTTCCAATTTTCCCTCTTTGTGTTTCTCTGGACAGTATTTTCTTGTTGAGCTACAGAAGGATGGAAACGAAAAGAGCGATTCAGCCTTCTTTGTGTTTACTGTGCCATTGACCGGGGCCCGTACGGTCCGTGTTTGTTTTGATAACCCGGGGCCGGGGGCGACAGCGGGCACCTCAATGTACTGCCAGTGGGCAGCACTGGGTCTAACGGCAGCAACTGCTGATCCGGTGTGGAGTCAAGCGGTCTGGGATCAGACCACTGAAGGGCCGTTTTGCGGAGATGCCGCCAGCTCTCCTCCGGGCGAAGTAGTCTCTCACGGACGGGGAGGACGAAACAAAAATACGAGTCGGCTTCTTGTTTCTGCCAGTTTATATTGAATCCAATAAACAAAGACAATAAACAAGGACCCTGTGACTTCAACCTGGCAAACCCCCGGGGCAGCTCTTCTCCTTCATCCCAGTGCTCATGTCGGCAGACTGGACACTACAGTCTTTGACATAACGTCAATACTGTAACCGTATCACATTCTGCTGCTGATGTTATTTCATTTAAAATTTTGGCCAGCTTTTACACATTTCACCTTTTAAGGGATCTGTAAAGTTTTTCCTGAGCCTCCTCAGTGGGCAAAATATGACAATGAACCCCAATGTGAATGTCTTTTGATTAAAAAAATAATAAAATCAATTTTTATTACTTAATATTTTTTTTAAAATTTAATTTTAAATGAATTATTTTTTTTATTTTTTATTTTTTTTACTTCTTTGTCTTCTTAACATAGAAATATGTCCAGGACTTCATCTTTCTACCTAAAGTCTGGTAAAACCTGAACCCTCAGAATATTATACTCTTTTTGTAAAAGACAAATATGTATATTGTTTATTGTATTGTAAAGGGACAAAAGTTTGGAGTTGACTTAGGGGGACGTGACAAGTGTCGGATAAAAACAAATTCAGCAAGCAGTTGGAGAAAAATCCCATTGTTTACATGTGGTGGGTGTTCCAGGTTTAGAGAGGAGTATGAAAGTGATGGTTGATTGAGTGCTGTGATCGGGGAATGACAGCGATGTGTGGGAAGTGGAGAAGCAGGGAACAGGAGAGTGTTTCCTTGTTTCAGGGCCATCCCTCCGCTGTCAAGTCCAATTAAGCCCAGAGTGAGACAGCCTCATAGAGGAGCTGAACGACCGGGCTCATCGGCCCTAAATGGGCCAGAGAGTGCTGACTGGAAGTGCGTTGTGTTTCTCGGTCCACCTTGTCTGGGTCTCCTCAGTATACGGGCCCCTCAACCATCATCATAACCGTAACAGACAACTCCTCTCAGGCTGTCATGCCAATCTCCAGTCTCTCTTTATCTTCCGGCCTCTGCTCTTGTTTATGTGTCACATTTCTTCAGGACTGATGAACTTCAGGGTTTGATCAATGCATCAGCCTGATGGTGAATATTAGCCTTATATTAAGTATTGGCTACCAGTCAGGCTGTATTGTCAATAATGTAATTTTACTAACTTCATTCTCTGCGTCTCAGTAGAAAGCTTTTAGTGCCCAATTCCGCTAAAAAACAAAGCAGTTTCAAAGGCTTTTGCATCCTGCCAACTATAAAATTCCAGAGAGAAAAAGTAATGTCTTGGCATAAAACCGGTGACATTTTAACATATTAAATATGGCATTAAATCTTGGCAATCTGTGTAAAGAGTTTAAAAACATAATATCAGCGAAGCTCTGGCATAGACCCAGTTTACATCAGTAACAGGTGAACCAACTAATTGCCACAGCTGTTGCTTAAGAGCTCTTGTGAAAGTAGAGATGGAACAAAAGAGATCATTTTAATTGTCTGTATTCTACCAAATGGCCACACAATCACACTCAGATTTTATAAGACTATATTTAACATTGTGATAAGCATGCTCATTATCTTTCTTCCAGAGATGAATGCGCATATGAATAACTTAATATCTTAATGCTAAGCTAACTGGCTGCATCTTTATATTTAACAAACATATAGGAGAGTGGTATTGATCTTCTCGTCAAGTAAATAGAGTATTTCCCAAAAAACCTGTTTGCTGCTCCTACATCCATCATCCTTCATCCTAACTGGATCCTGATTGTTTAACGTTTTGAAGGAACTGCTCTCACATCCTCGTGTATCTTCTCTCTGCAGATGTCGACGAGTGTGCAACTGAATACAACGGCGGCTGCGTCCACGAGTGCATCAACATCCCAGGAAATTACAGGTGCACATGCTATGATGGCTTCCGCTTGGCACATGATGGGCACAATTGTCTAGGTGAGTGTGTGTGTGTGTGTGTGTGTGTGTGTGTGTGTGTGTGTGTGTGTGTGTGTGTGCCCTCAACACAGTGTGTGCTGAACTAATTGTTTTACATACATTTTCCGCAACTGACTTAATTATGCAGGAAAACGGTGTTGTATAAGGGGCTTTTGTCAGGAAAACATGCATTAAACTGGGAATATCATATTTCAAACTCGGCGTGACAGAACCCATGTGGTTGCAATTCTGTTCTCTGCATGTGTAATGTCACATCGTGGATGGTAATATATGTTTCTGTGCTGAATTGAGCTCTTATTAGACTGCTGCATGAGATATTTCCTCATTTCACATAGCAGGTAGTTTCCAAATGTGTTTTCACAAAAGAAAAAAGGCGACTTTTTTTTTTTTTTTTTTTTTTTTATAAATAAGTCTGACGAAAAGTGGTGAATTTATGAAGAGCTTGACCCTGAGCTGAGAGCTCCGAGTGAGCCGTCAGCCAGCCGTACTTTCCCATGGTTTAATATTTCACCAGTGTGTCATTCATATTAACCTCTCAGAGAACGTATTACGCTTAACAGGTTATGAAATGAAGGGGGGGGGGAAAAACTCATCTTCCTACTGCTGGGAGCTGCTAAACATAGACCCCTCTTCCCCATGCTAACTTTCTGTCTTGTTGCTTCTCCCCCATTCACCCACCCTACATTACTTTGTTTTGTTGTGAAGGTCAGACCCCGCTGCTCCTCAGACATCACCTCTCTCAACCTCTCAACCTCTCAACCTAACAACCTTTCGCTGATACTTGATATTGAAAGCCGGCTAACCCTCGTAGCTGCTGTGAGCTGTTTGTTTTGTAGAAGAAAGCAACCGGCGACTTGCTACAGCGGATTTCGCATCGAGGTGAATGAAGTGATGACAGGAAAACTTCTCAGCACTTAACAGTGATTCACTGGGAAGGCGCTTTTGCATGTGGGCACACGAGGCAACGGACTCGTATCAGTTTACTGGATGGACTGCATTCAATGCCGGGATTAAAGTGGAATGGAACAAAAACTCACATCTTTTAGATCGATAATAAACCTGCACTGACTTGTCGATTCTCTCACTCTTACTGTATTTGTCTCTTTGTCTCTCTGAGCGTCTTCCTCCCTCGTGCACTTGTATCTCGGGGTAAAGCAGGGCTATTTTCCAAGCCATTTAGCAACGTTGTCGAGTTGTGCGTGGATCATTTGCTGTGCCGTGGATCAGCTCCTGCCTTGCGTGCAGCTGTGATTGCAATGTATGGTTGTGTGGCTGCTGCTGTTGCATCCAACAGATTTGCATCCATTGATAACTTTGATACACATTTTCATAATCAAACAGGAGAGAGCTTTCCACAATTTTTTTTTATTTTTTCCTGCAGACCTGTACACAAGGCGCAGAGACTTCCTGGTTGAGATCTGACTCAGAAATTCCCTCATAATCCTGTGAAGATAGCGATCAAATGACTTATTAAATGGTTGGATATTTTTTTTAATCGACGCATGGCTTAGCTGTCAAGTACAAATCCAACTCTTGCTTTGAGACCTGAAAGGGCTCTAAAGACATCTTTTCTCAGGAATTTAACTCCTTCTAATGCCTCCACTCTGCTCTGCTAAAGGAAATAATCCTCTGCACAAACACAAGAGAGAAGAGGAAGAGGTATAGCCGAGGTTTCATGTTTAAGGCCCCAGCTTCCTCTTCCAGGTTTAAGCTCCTTTCGGCCCCTGAGAAAAGATTAGTCCCCTTGGCCCTGGAGAGGAGAGCCTAAGCAGCTGGTTCCCAGACTAGGTCAGACCCTCAGAACCCTTATAGACCAGATGTGCCGAGGCTGCAGAGGAGGAGACATTCACCTGATCCTCAGAAGTTCAGTTTACAGATCTTTCAGGTGCTTCTCTTTGGATTCACCCCATGTTGTTTCTCCAAAAAGCTCAAGTGATTTTGTTTTATTTCGGCTGCTTTTCATGGTTACATCGCCGCATAAACTCTCGGTGGTGTCCATAACGGCTTGTTCTCAGCTCTCAGCTTTTCTTCAGCCAGTACAGCGCGCGCGCGCGCGTGTGTGTGTGTGTGTGTGTGTGTGTGTGTGTGTGTGTGTGTGTGTGTGTGTGTGTGTGTGTGTGTGTGAGAGAGAGATGGTCAGCTCAGGGACTCGAGTTAGGCCAATGCACGCTCATCCCTGTCGATGTCTTCTTTGTTTGTTCGCTGCGGCACGTGCCACACGGCCGCTTGTAATTGGATGTGTTGGCAGCATAATGACATCGGGCGGTGGCAGAAGGCGGCGGAGCGTGAAGCAGAATGCTGCCTAGTGCGCCTCACCCGGGATGCTCTGTTTTTTTTCCCCCGAGGTCTCCACCGACTGCCCTAAATCCCACCAAGATGTCAGGGAGTCAGCAAGGTGGAAGCAATGCAATATCACAGCACACTGCTCCTGTCTGTGCGGAGTGAGATGTCACTCACTGTATAATTTACCTCACAGGGAGCCATTGTACCCTCTCAAATCACACTGGAGAGAGGAAGTGAAGCATATAAGAACTTGATTACATCTTTTATGAATGTCACGACTATTATCTCGCAGAGGTAAGAGAGGGATGGTATTTAATCACCACACCTCCTTCATGGCGAGGCTGTAAAGGATCTTTAGAGTCTTAGGAAAAACAGAGGAATCAATGTCAATTTAATCCAAAACACACATCCTCTTTAGAATGAAAACCAGATGCAGGAAGGCTATTGGCTCCCCACTGTAGCACCACCGTCCCCACATTTATGACCTATGCGTTTTGGGTGAGGTCCTACAGAAACCCAAATACCCTCTTATCAGTAGCTTAATATCGCAAGCATCTGCGCAAATACTCCGGTTCTCCGCAACCACAAATCACAATGTTTCGCCCCGATGTGGAACTAAAAGACACAAGTGAAGATGTTTTCTTACGCTCCCCATAAAGTGGAAATGCCACAATCGCATGCGGCCTGAGTGTGACTCGCTGGGAGGAATACAAGCAGGATGAATGAAATGGACAGATGTTTGACAGAGGGCCACCGTGCTGTAAAGGAAACGCTTTCATCATTGCATGTTTACTCATATTCATCATGCGTCGTACATGTAGCCCCCATGTTGCCCAGAGAACAGATTTTTTGGGGGGGGTCTCAGATTTCTATTGACCAACACTGATTTGGTTTGTATTGATTCAGTAGTGCTCAATTCCCTGTGCAATCTATAGGGAAATGAACGCCCTTTTACTTTAACCTTCCCCAAAGACGTAACATGATCTATAACTCAAAAGTCGTTTCGGCTTTGAAATGGGCTTTTGAAGAATAGCGGTTAACGGTCATGTCAGTTAACACTGTTTGGTGTTTTGCTAATTGGCTTGCTAATTGTATCGTGACATTGTTTTTTTAAGAGATTCTTTTTGAGAATGTCCCTCAATCTTTCTGACAGAAAAGCTTAATCTGTCATCTGTCATCCACCACGAAGTCTCTTGAGTCCCCGCCTGGCCGAGCCCGTACCCCTGCTCTTGTAATCCTTTGGGATCACGTCGCAAGGTTGACTAATCAAACAGGAGGTTTCAGAGTGATGTATTATTGACCAGCTCTTGATGGGGAAAAGTAGTCATCAAAGAGCGTCACTCTGATTTGCCCCGCAGCGTTTGCTGCGCTCTTAAATGCATTCCTTTTAACTGCTTTGGCCACTCTTCCGAGGCAGTGATGAGAACGACCTCACCCTTCACTTGTGCAGAAAACATTTCATTCTAGTCGCTTTTTAACTCCCGGATATGTGGGATTGAGTCAGGGAAGTGATGATCTGGTTAACCCCGCTCCCATCATACCCAGAGGGGTTAAGGGTAGTAGAGACACTTCTTAGGCTTAGCACTAACCCTGCTCACTTCCCCGCTGTCTCCACAGTTAGCAGTCACTTTGATTGTTGTGACACGCACGGTTCGAGTTCGGACAAGAGAGTCTCTCCACAGTTCAGAGGAGAGGAGCTGGAGTGATGAGTTAAAGGACGGATTTGAGATTGGTGCATTAGCCTGCTCCTGAAGAGTGTATCCACACACACACACACTCTCTCTCTTCTCTCAGGATTGTTCCGTCCCATCCACCATGAAATGAACAATTCCAGCTGAGCCCACTGGCAGGGCTTTGGGGGAAACTCAAGCCTGAGATTGGGCTTAGGGATGTTGCAGACTGGGAGCCGTCAGCGCAGGGCCTCTCGTCTCCTTGGCATAAAGCTGTCCACCCAAACACTTATCCAGGGGTTTTGTTTTTAAAATACTTCCAGACTTGTTTTGGAGGAATGTAGAAATGCCTTTTAGCATGATCTTTTTTTTTTTCATTTGGAAAGAACTCAGTGAGAGATTAGACGTGGAGTCTAAGCATGTGCTTATTTACCCAAAAGGGTTACCTGGGAGACAGGCCCAAAGTCCAAAAGGTCTGAGTTCAATCAAAGCTGAATGAGTTTTGTGTATATATATTGGCATAAAAGTGATCCCTACCTGCTGATTCAAGAATAAAATACTCCAGTAAACAGAGATTTAAATCATGTTTACATAGCAGATGTGAGTCAGTTGTATTGAACAACACTGGGTCCGTCAGACAGAGAGCGCTGGAACTAATAAATTGTTCAAAGCTAAATACTGCAAGTGTCCTAATGAATAAACTTCCAGTTTGAAATGCTCTTCTTTGATTTAAGTGAGCGTGTGTTCTGCAGATGAAAGATCAGGACTTCCTGCAACATATCAATTTATGCAACCTCAGCAGACGTGTGTCAGAGTGAGGCTAGGTGTTTGTTAACACAAAGCCAGTTCCAGCGTATGTGAACTCAGTTGCCCCCCCCCCCCCCCCCATACCGGGTTCAAACCTGGCGCCTTTGCTCGCTGCTCATGCAAGTCGGGTTGAAGAAATGCGGCGTGTCATTGAACTCTCAGCAGCGACCGAGACAAAGAGGAAATCCTGTAATCCTGTTTTAAAATAAGAGAGGATCTTGTTTTAATTGGAGCTGGCTGTGTATGCGCCACTCTCCTTCCGCACTGACACTGGCTTCCGTCAAGCCACGCCGGTGCCTGTTCATCTACCAGAGCAACATGGTCGCCTCCTGCAGTCCACCAGCTGTTTTGCTCCCTGTCGCTGCACATGGCTCCGATTTTCTGCCTTATTAAATAGTGTGTGCCTGTAAACGAAATGCCCAAAGAGGCCAGTGTCCGTCCACTCACCTCCTCGTCTGGTCTGTCTGGACCACAGAGACAGTTCTGTCTGATCCAGGCAGAAGCCGAGCAGTGGGATGGATGCATGGACAGCTTTGATGACAGACGGTGGTAGTTTTTCACTCTTCCCCCCCTGGCAAAACCCCCCCCCCCCCCCTCTGGGTCAGCAATAAATGCCCCCAAAGTCGCTGAACCTTAAAAAATATGTGAGCAAAGGAGTTGAGTGTTTCTCCAAAATAAGGGTTTAGGAGTTTCTGTAAGGCAACCACCATGTTTACATGACTCTAAAGCTTTGCGCAAGGCCAAATGTTATATATACAGTCAAGGCTATCTGAGGAACCAGCGGACATGGCCTCCGCAAACACAACCAATCTCTTAATCTCTCTCCGTTTGAACCTTCCTTTTCCCTTCGACTCCTCGGATGAAGCAGGGATAGAGCCGAGACGAGTCTCATTTTTCAGAAGTGAGGCAGCCCTTTTAACTTGATTAAGTCGGGTTTTTTTCCGTTCTCTCAAGAGAATAAAAAAAACAAAAAAAAAAACCTAAGACCAAATAACATGAGCACTTCTCCTGGCCATGCCAGAACCCCTTTCCGCTTGGAAATATTTGCTTTGGACGCCAGCCTCACCCAGCACACAACATAGGCAATTATGGGAGCTATTTAAACAGGAGAGATCTTCTGACAGGCGACGCCTCATTTGGAGGGATGAAGGAATCAGGAAATGAAACCTTCATTGATGCGCTGTAGGTATGGAAAGAGAATTCCCCCAGGCCCTCTGAGGCTGGCTGCATTTCTCATGGGCATTTTTATGCATGTGCCGAGTTCTGTTGTATTTGTGTAGCCTTTTTACATTTTTGGTGTGTGTGTCAGTGAGAGAGAGAGACTTTATGTGTGTGTTAGGATGTTTTCTCGTGGAGTTTGGCTTTTTTTGGTGCCTGCTACAGTTTATCTGTAAAGGTGCGGCTGTGGGTGGTTGGCAGCTTCCGTCAGCTCAAAGGTCTTCTCTCTGTTGCTGCCACTTTCATGATGGGGAGATGAGACCATGCGGTCAACACCAAGGCAGCCACACAGTTTGAATGAAAGCCCGTCCAACTATTTTCTAAACTGTCCTTCTTTTACTCTGATATAAAGTCTAACTTTACTGATTTTTATTTTTCTATGAATGCACTGCTTTACTTAGCTGCAGAGTGATGCTTTTCCCCCCAACAACCTCAGCTGACAGGGCACATAGTTTTCAGAGGAACGAGACAGTGTTGCTGATGGAATGTGAGAACAGGACAGCAGACTTTGCAAGTCGGCGAAGGTCATGAGTGCTACCTGCCTCTGACCTACTTAACAACCCCAAAGATGTCTGCCTTGCCAGGTGCCACTTTGTGAGCACAGTCTGTGTGTGTTTATGCATTTGGTGAATCCTCATGTCCCTTCGTTTCTATGTGGGGGGAAAAAAGAAAGAAAGAAGAGGACAGAGTGAAGTTTAATTTCAATCTCTGCCGGGCCAAGAATTCCCCAGAAAGGAAACTTAATCTAGACGCCTTCTCAGACTGGACAAATAGACAGTAAATTAGTTTCGCATGACGGTTTATTAAAAGAAAACCTTGTGTATACAGCAGATTATTGATGCATCGAGCAGAGGGATGGATAATGTTCCAGTGTGGTGGGTAGTGAGGGACAGAGCCCGGGTCTCCGGGGGAAGAGTTACCTCCAGAGCCAGAGTACAGTCACGCACAGGGGGAGGCCTGCAGCACGGCAGACAAACAAAAGCATTAAAACAAATGTAAAAGAAGATGACATCGTGCAAGATCTTTCATGTTGAAAATAAACAAATGTATCAAAAGATTTATAGATGTTCCGCCGCTGTTCATTTGTTTTGTTTTGTTGAGTCACACAATGGGTTGGGGGAAAAGAAACTAGTTTCGTGCCATTAGGAGAGAACAGCTGGATGTGCACAATTCATTATCGGTGGAAATGAAGTCAGCAACTCTCATTCGTGGTCAGTTTCCCATTTCTTGCCCTGAGGCAGGACGAGGCCTCAGGCGACACCTTTGTAAATGCTCTGCCTTTGTATGCACTTGAGGAGGGTTCACATGGTTGCTTGTTACCCTCCTGCTTCCCCCCCCCCCCCCCCCCCCTCCACCTCCTTCCTCCCTCTCCCTGCATTCCTCCCGTCATGGGGCTGACAGACACTCGTCATCAGCGGGTACTCTGGCCCAGGTGGATCAGGTTTCCCACTTGCCTGGAGATTATGCTGCATGTGCATTTTTACGGCTTAGTGCTGCACAGTTGGAGGTTTTCAGTGCAACTCAGTGTGCCGCCATGTCAGATAACCATTAAGATAGACACGGCCTCCTCAAACGGCTTAAGACAAGCTCCTCTGGCTTTTCATAATATCCAAACACTTCTTTTTGTGCCTTGTGTTTTACTTTTGTATGACATCTCACTCAAAGCACAACCTCTCTGGTTATTGTGTTTGATTTTGGAAGTGAGTCATTTCTAAATCATTATTTAAAACACTTTAAATTAAAAATAAATGTATTCTAGGTGTGAAAAAGCAGTTTTTTTTAACTTGAATGTTTTCAGTCAAATTGTAATACACCATTTATTTTTCTTTATCAAACACAGTCGGGTTTCATGAATTGTATCATATTCAGTGATGGATTGTTACCAAGTACATTTACTCAAGTATTACAACATTTGAGGTAGTGAGGTATTTGAGTATTTCCTTCCTCTAGATATATATAGCTATATATTTTACTACATTTACTTGAGAGATTTGCTTACTAATTATTTGAAAGATTAGGATTTAACATACGAAACATATAATGAACATATGAAATAAAATATTTTACAGATCAAACTACCCAACATGTAGTTAAAACTTTCTCTTCCTTAACCAACTGCAGCCGTAGAATTCTGCTTGACACGTTAATGCACCACTTATAATAATCAAATAATATAATCGTATAATACTCATTCAAGGGCCATTTTTTGTACTTTTACTTTTGATACTTTGAGTACATTTTGTTGATAATACATACATCCTCTTAAGTGACATTTCAGTGCCTTTAACTTGTAACAGAGTATTTTTGTACACTTTATGCTCTTTCAGAATTAGTGTTGGTCCAGAGAAGATCTTTCATAAACAATTACTTTTGCTCTATGTATCGCGTATGTTTGTTCCTACCGTCTCCGTTTGTCATTCCGAGTTACTTGTCCATTTAATGGGTTATGATTTGATCCCAGACGACCTTCCGACAAACGGTAATCTGTGTCGTATTTGTTCTGTCTCATTAATTTTGTTTTGTGCGTGTTTTCTCCTGGCAGATGTGGATGAGTGCTCAGAAGGCAACGGTGGATGCCAACAGATTTGTGTCAACATGATGGGCAGCTACGAGTGCCGCTGCAGAGAAGGATTCCTCCTGAGTGACAACCAGCATACCTGTATCCAAAGGCCTAAAGGTTAATCTCACACACACACACACACACACACGCTTTGATGCTTTATGGGAAATAGCACATCTACCATTGAACAACACATATGTTGTTCAATGGTAGGTGTCTCCAGTCTGAGGGGGAAAAGAAAAAAAAGAAGAAGAAAGGGAATAAATCTCTTTGTTTTTCTCCCACCCTTTCAAATTGAGCCAATCTAGTGCTTGGCAGCATTTTAAGGTAGCAGTGGTATGAGAGTGGCCTTCGGGGGACTGTGAGCAGAGAAAACAATTAAAGGTGTAGCCTGGGGCAGACACACCTCTTGTTTATGGAGCATTCCTGTGGGATGGAGACGTGACAGGAGAAGGTACAGAGCCAACCTGCTCTGAGGCTTACTCAACAGACAGCAAGGCGCACTGTGGATATGCAGATGTTCACAACGTCACAGCTGTATGTAAAGCAAAGCAAAGGAAAATATCTCTATTGTGCATATTGTCTTGTCGCAGACAATGTAGAATTTGAAAAGTCTGAAACAACAGCACAGAGGTTGTCGTCTGTTACAGATGGGGTTCAGTATCTTGCCCGAGGACACTTCAGGGATCGAAGATGTCTGATTAGAGACTGCTCGGCTGTCGCTGTACGTATCGCTAAATCGTGGAATGGCTCGAGCATTTTTCACAAAACCTGTTGATGTACAGAGTTTAATTCTGAGTCCTTTCCATTCGTGGTGCCAAAGACATTTTTGGTGAATCACTTAAGAGTTATTTTCCCGATTGAATCTTATTATCATCATACGTACAAACTAAAAGCCAACCTACAATGCTTTCAAACAATGATAACACTACAGTGTACTTTTCCAATGTCTGAAAGTCAGGCCGTTGACTGGCAGCTGAGAGCCGGCATTGCTAGGAGACGGACTGTTGAATTTCTGCGGCGAGCTGCTGTCTGGAGCGCGTTAGTAGCGATGAAACGATGATACAAAACGTTATTTCCCCCTTTTTTGAAATGGGACTGCCCTTTTTTTCCGACAGCCCATTATTCTGAAACCCTAATAGTCTGAAATAATGTTGCACTGCACCGAAAGCCCGACGTGGACTGAAAGCGAATCCTCTTTTGTTCCCAATAGACTGGTAGAATATATTGTTCTAACATATTAAAATCCTTATTTCAGTTTGAAATAAGGATTTTATTTAGGCATAGATGTTAGTCTATGCCATTGTCATAGACTAACAATGGCAGGCTGTGAGACATCCGTACTAATTATTATACAGACTTTAAAAGGAGAGATATTTTGTTGCTGGAGATTTAGATAATTGGGACTTTCACTCCCAAAATAAAAATCGAATTGATTGTGTTCCCTGTGCTGTTCTGTGTCGTGCAGTTACTTTTCTTCTTGTTTGTTTCGCTGTACATGTGGCACAGCGTTGCCTGCTTCTGTTCTTTGTTTGGCAGGTTTATCCACGGATCAGAACAGCAACATCGGAGGAAATAAACAGCTGTTATCACTATCACAGAAACGCATTTATTCAAGGAGTAATTAATCAGCTGTCCACCGACTCCTCGGCTCTGGGACTGTGTTGTAGATCTTTTGCTTCCTGGGCGTTTGCAGCACTTGTCATTCACAAAGCCCTCTCCGTCTCTGCCCTCCTCTCTTTTGTATGATAACTGCTCGTTGCTGGGAGTCATTAGACTGTGATGATCCTAAGTCCCCTGGATGGTGAACCGAGGATCTTGGAAGTCTGCTTTATGAGATCAGCCTGGCCTTGAACTGTCAATGTTTACATTTCATAAACGCAGTGTTATTAGAGTGGAGTGAAAAGCTGGTTCTTGTGTTTCAAAGCGCTACTGCTATATCTGTCAGAGGCAGACTGTGAGCACCGGTCCAGTCTCTCCAATCCCCCCCCCCCCCCCGTCTCTCGTTCACTTCCTCTGTCTTTTCTTTCTTGATAAATGCCCTCAGTTCCTGTTAATCTTCCATTTCCATATTAAATTTGTCTTTATTGCCTCCAGATGAGACCCATTTGGAGCAAGAGATTAAAGCTGCCATAAATCTTCAAACTTCCTTCACTCCGCCGCTCTGTCATTGTTTCATTATTTTTTGAAAGACTAACAGACAGAGCAACTACTCGTCTGCTTATTATTACTGCTCTTATTACAGCAGTGTGTGTCTGAGGGAACATGGAGGTAGTGAGGAAGAGACTCGCCCAGTTATTGGACAATCACCCTGCAGAATTGCTGCAAATATCACTTTCCTTGCTTACTGAAAAAAATATATGTACAAGTGGCTCAGAGGGAGGGGGGAAATTAAAACTGATTTAATCTTCCAGCCAAGTCGCTTCAAATGCAACGCTCCATCCATTCTGCAAAGGCCCCTCTTAAAGAGCAACGCCTGGAGTGCAGTTTGCTCATGAGCATTATTGTTCTCATTAAAAAGACATCAGCTTTCCATTTCTTTCATTAATGGTTCAAGTGTTCCTTGGGCAACTTCTGCAAGTCTTTCTGGGGACAGTGGAGAGCATGGTCAGTGCAGTGTAGCGCTGGTAGGAAGCCCTTGTTAAGCAGTGAGCTTGTGCCAATTAGGCAGCAGGGGTCTGCCAGCCTCTCAGCTAACGACAAGGCTGCTGCTGGCCTGTCTCTTATTAGACCTGCCCCTGCCCCCCTGAGCAGGAATAACTCCGGCCAAATGAAGGCTCCATCGTCTAGCTGGCCAAAATGTAACAGTTCATTTATTCTCCCCAATCATTTCTCCCCGTCAAGAAATAAAGCCTGTGAAAGGCCAGCCAAGGTGCTCAGTGGTTGATAGGAATGCCATTTAGGTCAAGAAGGGTCCCGCTGCTGTGCGTTTGATTTATCGTCTCTTTTTATATAGGGGGATAACAGGGACGTACTATGTGTGCGTGAGACGGGATCCAGCACATTGGAATTCTGGAAATCCAAGCTCAGTCAACCCATAATGTTAGTCCTGTGCATCATCCGGTTGGGCAATTACCTTAAGTGTGCACTTATGGGCTGTTATGCAAGTCACATATTGTAACTTTTGTATTCTGTCAGATTGTCAGCTCAAAAACACACCAAATATGTGATTTGAAATTTGAATCTTCAGCTCTGCAGAATTGCTTGAGAGACAGCACAGCTGAACAAGTTGAACTAGCTCAAGTTAAATGAAAAGAAGTTGAGTGCTCTGGATCAAACTTCCTGTCACACTGCCAATGACTACGGCACGAGTGTGGCTGGCTTTGTGTGGAAGGAAGGATAACGTCCATGTCTCGTATAACATTTTTTTAAACAGAAAAATGACGTTTAAAGAAAAAACCATAACTGTGTACAATAGTACAGTTCAATGTGGGCCACTTCATGTTGAAATCATTCTTGCCAAAACATTTACTTATTTTACCATATTGGAAAGAATAATAGAACACTTTCCTCCAATGTTTTTTTTTTTTTCATCAGTCACCTGACTGTGGATACAAGCATTGCTCTTTTTCTCTACAGTAGGCCTCGTCTTTCCAGGAAATGTTTACTTTGTCAAAGAAAACCTCTTCCTGTGTTTACAACTTTCATTCGCTTCCCTCTCTGCTCTCTCATTTTCATTTAATCCGGCTGGAGGCTCATTCGGACGCATTTTTGAAATGCCATTTTGATGCAGACCGTGGCATGTCCACTTCAGGATATGGGTTTTTTCTGTGCTGGCCAGAACTGCAGCAGCGCAAGCAATTTTCCAATAAATATGATCAAATCCATAATAAATGTTTGCATCATATTCTCAGTTGGCTTTGCTCGTCGGCTGTCACATTCCTCCTGTATGAAATCAGACATGGAGTCATCGAACCCTGTTTTATTGATGTTTTGTTGCTGTCGTAAACGGATAAACTAACTTACTTTCTTTGAATGTGATGTCCATTGTAGCAGACTGTTTGCACATTTTAATTTCATGAAGTAATGCGCTGCTCAAGGGCCAGTTTCCATCATTCCAATGATGCAACGTTTAATACTGAAAACTCAAATATATTTTAGCTGTTTGTATTCGCGAAAGGAAAAAGTATGGGTTGTTGTGTATGCTCGTGTCTTGTGCTGCGTGGATGTCCCGCTGTGCAGAAGCTGACACGGTTCTTACATGTTCCCCATGTTGGTTCTCAGCAGGCCTGCCTGCCTGTCTGTGCATTGGCCACAGAACTGTTTTTACAAGTGCAGAAGTCGCTGCTCCATTGCTCTGCAGCCCAACCGTGTAACCAGGCTCTTTTCCTTTTCCGGGGAAGTGGAGCGAAGGGAACGCCTGGTGCTCCCATTGCTGCCTATTAAGTCTCTCCCGTTAGCCCAGCAGCAGAGATGAAGACACCCGGGACACTTTACTGTCCCACTTGTCTTTCTCTGTCCACCCCTCATATGTTCTGTTCTTACTTTCCCTCCGTCTCTTTCCGACATTATCTTCCCTCTTTGGCCAGACTTTACTATGTCCTCCCCACCCGCCTCTCCCCACCCTTGAACAAATATACATCAGTGGCTCGGGCTGGAGCAAATGTTGGCTGCCTTGCCACTGAATTCCCCAGACGGGCATCCCTTTTTGCTCGTAGGTTTGTTGAAGGCCATCACTAAGCTGGCCGGCCCAGCACGATGCTGCGGACTGCCTGAGTGCCAGTGGGGTTTTTCCACTAACACTTGGCTGTCATGGCTTTAACCAGAGGGCCAGACTGAGCCCTGCAGAGACAGATGCCTTCTTCAGCTGCCTCTCCCTTTTTGACTTTTGGAAAGAATGTGATTCTGTAATAACACACCGCACCTCATATCTTTTGTCTTTATAAAGAGAGCTGTGCTGTGCTGCCGTGTTGTCTGTTCTGCTGGCGGGATGCATGGCTCCTTAGGGACTGCACAGGGAGGTGACCTTGATAGGATGGGAGGAGGAGTGAAGGCGAGAGTGGCACGTCCCCAGCAGGTGCTGCACAACTGTCTGTGACACAGATGGGCAGACGCACACAACCTGCATACATTATGCAAATACACCCGTGTGTCAACGCAAACGCATATTCTGATTT